TGCATCTAAATGCCGCATCCTCACGAGGGCTGCTGTCCTGGATTATTAATTAGCGAGAGTAGCCTGAATCTGGATGATCTGGAAAAAAGCAGCAGTTCCCAAAACGTGCTCGTGTCCTTTCCTAGAGATACAAGCAGGCGGGCTCGAGGGCGCAGACACTGGGATTTCAATCTAAAGCCTGGCAATGATCCCGGTCTACGTTTCCTTCTGAATTCCACACATCTGCGATTGCACCCCGGGGGCTGTTAATACAGACGACGAAACCGAGTCTCTGAGAGCCTGGTCCAAAGTCACACGCCCTGCAAAACGCCAGCCTCATGATCTCACGCGAAGGTGCCTCACGGGGCGTCGGAAAGACATGGAACGTGTATCATCTTCTCTGATTCACTTTCTCTTTTTTTTTTTTTTCAAGCTGGACCCCAGCATTTTCGAGAGTTTGCAGAAAGAGCGAGTGGAGGCCGGAGACGTGATCTACATCGAGGCCAACAGCGGGGCCGTGAAGGTAACGCGCGCCCCGGGACAGTGCTGTCCCCCGATGCGTTTGCCGCGAGGAGACCCAGGTGGCACCGGGGCCAGGCGCTTCCTTCCGAGGGCGCGCGGGGAGGGAGGCCGCGTCGGGGGGCCTTCTCCTTCTGTCTGATGCCCTGTGTCCCCCTGGCTGTCTAATAGATGAGCCACAGTCCTCCGTATGACGCAGGAAATCGCCCGCCTGCAGAGGGCTCTGGGCGGCTCCCCGCGTCTGCGCTTGAGCGGCTGGACGTGGCCTTTCTCTGCGATCGCGCGCGGTGAAAACGGGGAGAAAGAATTTTGGAGAAAGTATCAGGTGTCTTGCGAGCAGGGTTTTGGAGCCCGGCGATGAATTAATAGATAGCGCCCTTCTCTCGGCGGCGGCGGTGGCGGGAGAGCGGGGCCCGTCTGGACTTTGTCGCCTAAGCCGTCGGCCCGCAGCTGGGAACCGAGACGTTTATGTCCCTTCGCAGTCGGCCACCTGGGGGCTCGGCGGGGGGAGACGCACCAGGCGCTCGTGTCTCTCTCTCTTCGCAGAGGCAGGGCAGGTGTGACACCTACGCCACGGAGTTTGACCTGGAAGCCGAGGAGTACGTCCCTCTGCCAAAGGGGGACGTGCACAAAAAGAAAGAGATCATCCAGGACGTGACCTTGCACGACCTGGACGTGGCCAACGCGCGGCCCCAGGTACGGCCCCCGGCGCCCGGGCGACCGGGCACAGCGGCCCCTCTGTCCCCGCCCGGGAGCTCCGAGAATGAATTGTCAGAGTCTCGCTGCTGTTCCTGGAGGCAGATGGTCCTTTTCTTTCCGTGGTGTTGAGCAATTAACGTCGACAGGCGCCGCGAGGGACTCCTTTGTCCCCATTCAGACG